AGTCGAAGAGATAAGAAACGCAAATCTAGAGGCACTCACTTGGATATCTCTTACAGTAGAGATCCCATAAGCTCGGTCCACGACAAGTTTCATTCACTCCACCTTCAACCTAATATTTAAGGACATATCGAAAAGCGTTGGACTTAGCAATTGATATATAAAAGTATGGGCTAATTTTCTTCGTAACATAAAGTATACAAAAATGGACCAAGATATATTCATGTCGGGGACAATGTTCTATTTTGTACTATAGTTTTCGATTTTTATCTATTTTTAATGGAATTCTATCTTTGGAAAGGATGGTATATGAAACACCACTATTTACATATAGTATTATGTTGTATAAATAGTGTTCAATTCTATAAAGTTTGTGGAAGGGTTTTGAAAAAATGATAAGTTTCAATGGTGACGTACATTTACTAGCTAACTGATAACATATTATTTAGGTGTAAAATAACTTATGGAAACTTTTCTTATATGTCAAGAAATGTTTATGGAAAACATATATCGTACCTGAAATGCCGCAGTAGCGGTGCCAAATAAAAAACCTTCAGGAAAACTTGCTCGGCTAAGTTTGGTCGTGGAAGGGCAAACAGGTCCATCGGCTGTTGTCGGAGAGCCGACGAAGGTTAGGACCAAAATCAGCCCCAAGAGAAGAAATTTTTTTTGAGCCATCTTTGTTTTAAGTAATTTTGTTTTCTTCAAAAGAAGAAGTTTAGGATGGTTCTGTTACATCTAAGTCGACCTCTTTATATAGGGATTTTTTTACACTAGTTAATCTCTGTTAGAGCATCTTTAACCTTAACATCCATTAAAATGTTTTAAGTCATTTTTTAATATTATTTTTTTTAAGACCCTTGTGTTAAAGTTCAATACATATAACTTTTTTCATCAAAGTTCATAAAAGTTTATTATATTTTAATGAAAAAGTGTTAAGACACAAAAAAAAATCACCATTAATGATGCTCTTAGGGATTTAAACCACAATTTAATATGTCAACTAGGCCTCGTTAATGATTTCTTAATTTTTGGTTAGTATTTTTTTGATCCAGATCTTGTTTTATATCAAATCTGAATAGTTATGGGAATATCGTGCCTTTTCCTACTTGGTAACAGTGATTAAACTACTATTGTTTAGTAAATGAAACGATCACTATTGTTTACCGGTTTACCTGTTTAAACGTCATTTATTATGAAAAAACATCACTAACAAAAAAAAATTAATGGGAAAATAGCATTTTTAACCTTCAAAATAAGATTTACTATCACTTTAAATCCTGGTAAAATTACACTCTTAATATAAATCTTCAAACCCAGAAAATTAACACTTTAAACTCTTAACCTAGCTTCCGAATTTGCTTCGACAAAAAAAGTGATAGAACTATTTAACTTCCGTTAAAAATAATGATGTGGCATTGTTTTAAAAAAATAAAATAAATAAAAGATATTGTTTATTAGTTTTAACAATTAATTAAAAACAAAAAAAAAACCTTAGTTTTCTTCCTCCTTGTTTCATCTTCGTTTTTTGATCTTCAATTCCTCATTCCTCCATCAATCGTCTCCAATTGAATCACTCTCTATAATCTTAATTTTATGTAATTCGGCAAGGTCAAGTTCTCCACCGTATCCAACAATGAAGAAAAGTAGGAGAAGAAGCAATTTTGGTTATGGATTAACGAGGAAGATAGAGATTTTTTTTAAATTATTTTTTGCATATATTTGTTTTTGTTTTTAATT